TCCCACACCCCATCCTCACTCACGAGAGACAGGATGTCTAGAGAGGTTTGGAGTTGTACACTTCCCTTCCTCCTTGTCAGTTATACTCTGATAAAACTGGTAGGTTATGCTCTGACAAAACAGTTTCTCTTGAGGGAAAGCTCCATTATGAAGACTACAATGCTCTGGGTATATTTTTAAAATATCTACTTTTCTTCCTCTGCCAGAAGCTTAAGATTTTCTCCAATATTCATTGTGAGAACCTCATAGGGCTCCTGGAGGTAAAACTCACAAAAGTGTGGGAGCACTCCCTAAAACTGGGCCTCTCTGGAGTTTTGTGGAGATTTGTCCACATCAAACTTCCAACAATTCATTAATTACAATTTAGGTTTTCCTACCACAGTACTGGTTTCTGGGAAGTTTCTGTTCATGGATTTTGCTCCAGCAAATTGTGATTTTGTGTATCTGCCTGTCTGTCGCTCCTTTTTTTGGAGGCAGTGATTTGCTCTGTGACCTCAGTTATCTAATGGACCTAAGAAGGGTTGTTGATTTTCAATTTGTTCAGGTTTTACTTGTTTTTAGAATGGAGTGATGACTTCCAAGTCCTTACATGCCAGAGCAAAAACCAGAAGCAAGAAGGACATTGTATAATGATAAAAGAGTCAATCCATAATGAATATATAACAATTATAAGCACATATGCACCTAACAAGAGAGCACAAAAATACATGAAGCAAAAACTGACAAAAATAGAGAAACAGATAATTCAGCTTTAGTGAAGACTTTAATATCCCATTTTTAATAATAAGCAAACCAACTGGACAGAAGATCAACCAGGAAATAGAGGGCTTGTGAACACTGCACCAATGAGACCTAACAGATATACAGAATACCCCATCCCAACAACAGCAGAATGCACATTCTTTTCAAGTGCATGTGGAACATTCTTCATGGTAGAGCATACGATGTCATACAATAAACCTCAATAAATTTAAAGGATTAGAAATAATACAAGTTATGTCTGTTCTCTGACCAGAATGGAAAAAAATTTTCATATCAATAACAGAAAAAGAATTGGGAAAGTCACAGATATCTGGAAATTAAGCAAAACACTCTTAAATAGCCAATTCATCAAAGAACAACTCAAAAGGGAAATCAGAAAATACTTTGAGATGAATGAAAATGAAACACAGCATACAGAATACCAAAACTTATGCAATGGGATTTGGTATGTTGAAACATAATATATTGACTTTAAGGAATGAGCTAAACTTATGTTTAGAGGGAAATATGTAACTGTAAATGTCTATAGTAAAAGAGAAGAAAGATCTCAGATCAATACCCGAACTTTCTACCTTAAGACACTGGGAAAAAAAGAGCAAACTAAATATAAATCAAAGAGAAGGACATAAATAATAATGATTAGAGCAGAAATCAATGAAAGGGAGGATGGAAAGAGGGTAGAGAAAATTAGTGAAACCAAAGTAGCTTCTTTGAAAAGATCAGTATTAACAAGCCTTTAGCAAGATTGGAGATAGAAAGAGAGAAGAGTGGGGAAACTCAAATTACTAGAAGAAGAAATGAAGGAGGGGTCCTTACTTCTGACATTACAAATATGAAAGAGGATTATACAGGAATAATATGAAATATTGTTGCCAATAAATAACTTGGATGGAAGGGCAAATTCCTAGAAAAATGCAAACTACTAAAACTATCTCAAAAAGAAATAAACAATATGAATAGACTTACAAAGGGAAGAGATTGAATTAGTAATTTTTAAAAAATTACACACAAAGAAAAATCTAGTCCCCAATTTTCCTTATCTTGAACTTTCCTTGTAGAAGGAACAGACCAGCTTTTCTCTTAGCTTTTGCCTTTTTCTTTTACGGAGGCAGTGGTGATTATTTGTGTATGGGATCTGGAGTTGACTTCAAACACACACTCTCTCTTGTCAGTTTCTCAGTAAAAAATTTTATGTAAGATTACTGCTGTCATTAGCATCCTCAGAAAGTCATTGGTCGTGTTCCTCCATTTATTTTGTATGTCATGGTAGCTATGTCTCACTGTAACTTTCAAGTTCCCCAGACAATTTGTTTTTATTTCCTAGATGTTCTTTTAATTCAGTTAATTAGGATTCATTCAAAATCTTATGTATTTAAGTAAAGGCTAGAAGATAAAAATGTTCTGTTTACACTCTATAATGCATCATCTAATTTATTTAGCTTGGAATTATAAATCAAAATTCGTTATGTTAGGAAAGGCTTGTCATGCATATTAAGATTTATTGCACAGAGAAAACTTTTACCCAGAGAGGCATTCTGCCTTGGGTCCTGAGCATCAATGCACATTCCTAATTGGGTATATCAAGAATATAAGCCCTGCCCACTGTTTATGCAGGCAAACCATTTCTAAGAGTTGTGTTTGCAGCAAACAACTTTGAATGATGAAGTAACATCTTTCCCTGGACACATAGCAGGCTTGCTTCTGCTTATAATGAAAGCAATGAAATCTCCAAACCCACGGTTTCTTTCCTGTAACACAGTGCACCCATGTGTGGGCATCCATAATGGGCCATGTTACTCGGTGGGACTTGAGGATCGTGGGGGGCTGATACAAACCAATATGAAGTTCTGGCTACTGCTTTTGTCATGAGTAGTGATATTCTTAGTCTCTGACCCAGGATTGTCTTGTGTTTGCCAGTATCCATTAAACAGTAATAAGTCAACTTGTTAAGTTGTACATAGGGTAAAATCTCAGACTGAAGAGTTCTTGACAGGCGTTTTCAGATATTATCCCTAAATCAATTCTGCTAGGGCAATATTTCCCACGAGGATGATTTTTTTGCCATATTTGAGTACCACCCATGCTATTAATATTGTGTTCTACCTCACCTTTGTCTTTAAACTGACTCACTTGAATACTTTTTTGAAAAGGAAACTTCAACACTACACTAAATCAAAATTATCATTTCCTTAAACAGAGTATTCATGGATACATATTCAATAGAAATACATGGCTACTACCCTTAAAATATTTGTGCACTATCTAAAATCATCTCTATTTACCACCTGGCCCTTCCATTTGTATCCCAAGTTATCTGATTATATTGAGTAGTCATGGGCTGGGATGAAGACTGTCACTACCAATGATTTTAGTTAGTGAATTTTGAGGACTTCTTCCTTATAAAAAGTTCCCATCAAGCCACCTTTGTTAAGGTAAAAAAGGGGTAAAGAAGTCTAGTGCTCTGACCTGCAACGGGGACAGTTATCATACCCCCTGTAAGCATGTCCAGCACAGCCTGGCCATCAGTTTGGGAGTCTGGTGCCTGCTTGCAGGCAGGAGCAGAGAAACCCAGGTCAGACCACCTTGGAGAGGAGTGTGGCCTGGGTGAGCCCGTTCACAACCTGCCTGAGCACCACTCCTCAGAGCACCAGGGGATGGAGTCATCCTGTCTTGTAAAACTGGCACAGTGAGCCCTGGACCCTCATCTCACTCCAGCCAGAATCCAGCCCCACCAGCGTCCATCACAGTGCTGCAACCTTGAATAATCTGAAGACATGAATTGCTCCAGGAAGAGCATCACAGAGGAAAAATAACACACAATGGACACAACCATGAGCCATATATACATATAGATACATATACAGATATACATTTAATTCTTACATAGTACTTCCATGTTTCCAGGCAAGGTTGGGAGCATCCCCAAATCTGACTTGAACATCCTTTTAAAATTTACAAAGGTTTACCGGTGAGGGAACCCTGCCACTGGTCTTGTGGGAGAGCTCACTCACAGTAGGGATTTAAGAGACTAAAAAGCATAACATCTGTCACTCACACTTGTCTTCTGGTCTGACCCTCTAAACTCTCCCCCCTCGTCTGAGTTTTATAGGAAAGAGGGGGGCTTGGGATTAAAACCCCAAAGTTGCCAAGGTATTTATAAGGTATCACGGCCCAAGTGGCCCTGCATCAGCGTCTATCCAAATTGAAAAGATGGGCATTCTCCCCACTTCTGCAGAGGTCAGTCTGGTGATTCAGCCCACGGAGTTTCCAAAGAAATATGTTGGGCTTCACTACTTGGGAATTCCAGCACAACAGCAGCAGTAGGGGCCTGAAAGGTTCAGGACCTGGATGAAAGGGCAGGAACGCCCAACATACGGGATCTTATCAAGGGGAGGGTGATTGGAGGTTGGGCACATGAAGCAGGAGAGGAACACGAAGGCGGCACCCACTGAACAGTTGCCTGGATTTGTTCTTAAGCACAGGTGAGAACTACCTTCACTTTCCCAAATAACTGAAACCAATTTCTTGGGAGCTGGGATCCAGCATGCGCAGCTGGGGAAAAAAGCCTATCAGATATAGCTCATAGTCATTACCTTATTTAGTCCCCCAAGGTTCCTTAGAGATCGTTATTATCTCTATTTCACAGGTGAGCATATGTGCAAAATTAATTCTAGCTAAGTGTTCTGGTAGTAATTTACAGTTCACATTTGCTTCTAAAATTCTGTCAACAAATTTGTACCCCATGGCCTTTAGCAGTAAACTGGTACATACTGTTGATTACTTCTTGTTATAAAACTTTTGTTATTTTGACAATAAGGTGTGTACATTCTAGAAATAAGGAAAAATACACATAAGAATTTTAAAAATCACTTATAATCCCACCACCATTTACACTTTTTTCCTTTACACATTTTTCTGCCCACATATGTAATATATAAATGTACTCTTCCCTTTCAAAAATATGATTTTCATATATTACTTACTTTTTTTCATTTTATATCCTGTCAGGAACCTCTTTTTGTACAAATGACTAAAGCTCTCCTATTAAAAGGCAGAGACTTGTAGAATGGTTCAAAATATGATAAACGATGAGATACAGATGACAAGAGATGCATCTAAAACCACTAATAGCAGCAAGTTAAAAGTAGAAAGCTGGACAAAGGTATATCAGGAAAACGCATGTGGGAAGAAAGCTATATGGCAATGTTAATATGAGAAAAAATAAAAATCAAAGTAAACTACATTAAATATGGGTAAGGATGGTTTCGATTAACCTTCCAATGCATCACTATAAGTTTACTTCTTACTCTCCTTATCTCATCTATTTCATTCACTTCTCTAAACATATCTTCCTTGCTTAAATGCCTGTTGTGTATATCTTCTTTAAATTCCTGGAGCTGTTGAATCAGCCTTTCTCTAAAAGTTCCTTCCATTTTTTCCTCCTCTGGTTCTTCCTATTCCTCTGGCTTTTCCTCAGGCTTTGGCTCTTCCTCAAGCTTTGGTTCATTCTCATTTTCTGGTTGTCCTTCCATTTTCTGACAGGGTTTCTTGCATCTGTCTCCCTTCCTTGCCTTTTTCTCTTCCTTTCTTTCTGTTCCTTCCCCTTTGAATACAATTACTTCTAGGAAGCAAGGGGATGATGGTAAGTCAAAGGCCTGGTGAATGGACCAGTGCTAGGGACAGCGGTCTCAGCATTCGCTTTTTTTGATTTAGAGTGATCATCGAATACCTTCCACCTGGGAGACGCAGTAGCTCTTAACTCTACTTTCCACCTCCTCGCCTCTCTTGTCGCTCCCTCCATCCAGCTAATTCCAAGGTCCTTTTCTACCGTTTCTCCCTACAGGGCAAAACATTAGACCCTCCTGGAACAGTGTAAGCTGGAAGAAGGGCCAGGGAAGAATCGGGGGCCCAACCTCTGTCCCGCCCTCGCCCAACTCTACCCCAGGGGTCTTTATAATGTTCCCTCACCTACCTGTATTGATCCAGTCAGTTTCTTCCTCGCCTCTTCTAGCCTTGTGTAGTGCTAAGGAAGACAGACCTGCGGGCAAACGGGAAATGGGAGTGGGGGAATGGGGATGGGGCGAGCACTGGGTGGGCCGACCAATACCAACTACCTTTCTCCTCATTAAGGCTCCCCGCTGTGGAAAGTGTCCCACCTTCGGTTTTCCCCATTTCCCCTCTCCACAGTGCAAGTTGGCTCGAATTTCCCATCAGAAAAGGAGTAGGAAAGCAGATGATTTCCAAACTATCTTTTAGACTGAGGCGGGGATGGGGGAGGGGCAGGGTAGGTGTTCAGAAAGAGGTCTGTGGTGGCAGACGATGATTATTTCTAAATGATCATAGGTCTCCTTGTCCTCCTGGGACCCCTGGTCCCTTTCCCAAGGGTCATCATTTCCTGCAGACCTGAAGGTGGGAGGTAGAGAGATGGACTTGACCAGGACTTCCTCAAGTCTCTGCCCAAGGCCACCCCCTCCTAGAAATCCTCAGGCAGAACCTATTTTGACACCATGCAAAATTCCGGCCAGCTGACTCCTTCTCCTTCCCCTGGTCCCAGGTCCCGTCGTCGGTGCTGCTGAAGGAAGCTGGTACCCAGACAGGAACAAGGACCAGGATAGCAGGACTTTGCACACGTCAACTCCTGGTCATGTGAGATCTACGTCAACAGTGAGTTCGGGTCTCCAGTTTCCACTCCCACCAAAAGTGCAGCAGAAGTGGGCCTGCCTTTTGCCCCCGCTTCCCGATACATTTGGCCGGGTCAGTCTTTGATGCTGTCTACCCCAGAGGGAAAAATGTTATTTGCCTTTCTCTGATTACTAGGAAGGGGCTGCATCATCTTCTGGAGCTACTAAACTTTTCTACTTCTTTTTAAAATTGTTGCTTACTGCCTTCCACTCCCTGGATTAAGAACTCCCACATCCCCCATCCCTCCCCTGCCTCCATTTCATCTGTAATCTGGTCTTTGCCTGTTGTGGAACGGGGTTGGTTTGGCTGCGGGGTTTTTTTTTCTTTTAAAGGAGCCTGGGACATGAGAGATATTTGAATGTAGTTTTTACTTTATTCCTAATATTTTATATTCTTTTTTTTGCTATTATTAATATACAATTACATGAGCAACATTGTGGTTACTAGATTCCCCTCATTATCAAGTCCCCACCACATCCCCCATTACAGTCACTGTCCACCAGTGTAGTAAGATGCTATAGAGTCACTACTTGTCTTCTCTGTGTTGTACTGCCTTCTCGGTGCTAGCCCCTAGATTACATGTGCTAATCCTAATGTCCCTTATTCCCCTTCTCCCTCCCTTCCCACCCCTCCAACCCCCACCAAGTCCCTTTCCCTTTGGGAACTGTTAGTCCATTCTTGGGTTCTGTGAGTCTGCTGCTGTTTTGTTCCTTCAGTTTTTGCTTTGTTATTATACTCCACAGATGAGTGAAATCATTTGGTACTTATCTTTTTCCGCCTGGCTTATTTCACTGAGCATAATACCCTCTAGCTCCATCCAGTATGTACTCTTTTGTACTTATTTGATAATCTTTTTTTTCTATTTGTAAAAGTTGTTGGGGTATATTTTCCCATTACCTATCATGATTTTGCAAATATTTTCCTCAATCATATTCCCTATTTTTGGAACTTATATATATATTGTTCCTCTATACTTTCTGGACTTCTGTACTTAAGAAGGTAATCACAAACAGGATTATATAATTTGTGTTATTTAATTTTCATTGCAATATTTTGTTTTTGTTCTGCACATTTTCATCCACCTGGGATGTGTTTTTGTATATGTGGTAAGTAGGAATCTATGCTAATTTTATTCTAATTAGATAGACCATGTACTTGATTCTTAGATTTAAAAAATCCTTGCAAATGTGTGAAACTCTTACATAAAAATGCTAAACATTCGCTCACCTCAATAATTACTTCCTTAGTGCAAACCCCAAGCAGTATAATTGTGTCATGGAGTATGTGAAATATACAACTTCTGGTACTTATAGTGAATAGAAGCAAAAAAAATGGATGTAGCAATTTATCTTTTCATTGTGTATGATAATGCCTACATCCTCAATAAAATTGAGTATTATAAGTAAATATTTGCCTCTTTGATAGGTGGATAACAACTTGTTTTTATTTTATTTAATTCTTTTCATTTGTATTTTTGCCTCCTGCTCAGGCTAAATAGTGTTTATTCTTCACATAGATTTCCTTGGTGTATATGCTGAATTTTTGGGCTATGACAGCCATCATTATGACTTTCAGGAGCCCTTAATTATGAATCATAAACCATTAGGCTCTGATTATAAGGAGATTCCTTCCATACTTCCCAGTTGAAACAGGGTCTATAGTGAGGATTTATGAAACAGTAATGGAGATGATTTCAAGGGGACCCCAAAATGAAGATTCTAAGGCCAAACGCACAGAAATTCTGATTCAGTATGTTTGTAAGAGTATGTGTGTGTATGGGGAGCTATGTGTCAGAATTTTGCATTTTTAATAAGCACTCCAGGTGACTATAATGTAAGAAGCTGACTTTTCAAGAGAGATTAGTTTTACAATGTTACAATACTTTTATAGATTGAATTTGGAGAATAATCTCTTTTCTGTTTGATTCCTTTTGAAAGCGTAAGTTATACTTTCTAGAGAGATAGATTATTGCCAATTTTATGTAATCAGAAGTAAAACTGGGTCAAGAACACAAGAATTCTAATTAAGTAAACATTTATTAAGTACCCATTATAAGTAAGTCACAACACTAATCAATAGAAGTATAATGACATAGTCTTTGAGATGCAAAATGCAAAAAGTCCAGTTAGGAAATAATGCTTAAGTGTATATACACATATACATATCTTTTGTAAGACTAAAACTATATATACTTACACACATATATATATATGTACATATATATATATATACAAATACACACCAAATATATATATAGGTACACATATACACTAAGAAGAATATATTCATATATTTCTATATATACAATGTTATGTATTTATTAGTTCTACAAATAATTTTTACATGTGTTTCAGGAGGGGAAGTGTTGGGGGAAAGGGGATTGTTCTTTAGATCTGTTTCCTGTATCACTTTGTGCAATTTACATGTTCCCAGAGTCTCTTCTGAACCAGTAGGCAGGCCTGCCAGGAGCCTTCAGGGAGAGATGATACCACAGGAGAAGGAAAAAAAAATTTTAGCCCTTAGACCTAGGGCAGCAACTCTGGCTACAGTATGTCATATTTGGCTCAAGTTTGTACCCAGGTGCAGCTACCAACATGGACTCATCATGTCTGACTACTTTGGAGAGGAGGGGTCCTGTTATTGAAAATGCAAGGCACTGTTTTGCTAAGAATTCTGTCAACACTGTGCCCGAAGCAGCACTAGAGCAATCCTACCTGTGTTAAGTGTCATCATGAAGCAGATAGAAAGGCTTTGGAAGACAGAACGGAGTTAAACCCACTGGGGACTCCAGGAAACTCAGTGGGGTTGTAGCACTCGGGGACTCCAGTACACCAGCAGTGCTGGGGGCCCGCAGACCAGAGGACCCAGCAGAAGAGGCAGCAGTGCCCAGCAGGCATGGCAGGGCCTAGGGGAGCAGAGAGGGGTACAGCTCAACAAAAGAGGACTGACATGGCAGCCCCCACCTCCCTGCCTATTGTACTTGCTCCTGAGCACAGGGCTCTACCCTCAAGTAACTGTCCTGTAGTGGAATGCACAGGAGCCCACCAACTGCAGCTCAGGGTCACCTCATTTCCTCCCCACAGCATCCCTGTGAGGCTAATGTCTTCCCCATGAAAAGATTAAGTCTTAAGTAAGTATGTCTGTAATAATTGCCAGTTTTATTCCTCTGGCTAAGATATCCAGAGGCAACTTGAAGTTTACATTTATTTTTTATAGTTCTGTTATTAAGAATTTATGAAGTGTTTTTACTGCCCTTCAAAGTTGGTTAACAAGTTCTTTTATTATGTCTGTTTAAGTTTTTTGTGCTACAACCACGTAATACACACACATATATATTCATTTTTTGAACAATGAGAAGATGTAGACAGGCAAAAAAAAAAAAGACAAGAAAGAAAATACAGATCACACAGAGATTCGCTGTTAACTTTTTGGTGTATAATAATTCAGACATTTTCCTTTGCATTATGCCATATATAAATGTACATGTAAGGCGTATATATGTGTAATGTGGTTTGCAATGTATTATTTTTACTTTACAATATACAATGAGCATCTTCTCATGCAAATGAATGGAACGTCCCTATTACATGAGTGAGATTGGGTCAAAAGATGAGATGTTAGTAACAAGTCTCATGTGAATCAAAGGAGCACTGAAGGACTGGAGTCAAAAGGCAGCAAATATTTAGCAAGAAAATGCATACAAAAAGAAACCAATGGCGGCAATATTAATAATGGAAAATAGTTGAATTCAGGAGAGAAATGCATTAGATAGGATAAGGGGGGGATGCCTATGGTTAGAATGCACGGCCCTAAATTTCTTTCTCAGACCCCTTATCTCTTCCAAACACCTTTCTATCTCATCTCCCTCTCTTGTCATTTCTTCATCCTTAAAATGCCTATAGTCTATGTCCTCTTTAAATTCCTCAAGAGACTGAAGCAGCCTTTGCCTAAAATTCCCTTCTGTTTGCTGGCATTGAAATTCTCCATAGGAGCGTTCTTCCTCTCTGTGGCACGATGCTGTTGGGCTTTCCTTCATTTTTTTTGCAGGGTTTCTGCATGATGTTTTTGTTCCTGCTTAAGTCCTAGGAGAAAATGTAGAGTAAGGCTGCTTCAGTTCAGGGTCGTTTCACTCAGGATTGTCAGTTTCTCTTTGAAGTAAGGTATTTGCCTAATCTCCCATCCCCTCCCACCCAGGTCCAACCCTCAGAAGTTCGAGCTACCGCCCTTTCCCCGACCCCCTTCCTCTCCCTCTCCAACCCACCAGTTCTTCCTCAAACAAGACTAATGGCCTCTCGGATGGGCGGGAGAGGGAGAGCCGACCTGGAGTGGAGCTGTGAGGCCGCAAATTTTACCCAGTTCTCGCCCTTCCCAACTCCCACCCTCAGAGATGCCAGTCTAAGTGCCTCCCTTATTACTGACCTGTGACGATTCAGGATAGCTCCGTCCTGCCTTTCTTGCCTCGAGACATCTGTGAACCCAGACCCTCAGACCTGCAGACAGAAAGGAAGGGGGCGGAGTGGAGAGAGTTCTCTGTGAATCGACCAGACCCAGAGACCACACACACGTTATTGCTGAATCCAGCATTCTCATAACCATCATTGCTGAAAATTTCCTACCTCCTGGATCTCTGACCCCACTCCCCACCCCTCATTCTCAGGCCTAGTTCTTGCAAGGTCCACTGTCCCCTCTCTCCCCAACCCCTACATCCCTCACAGGCGGGCACTGAATGAGACGAACTATTTTCAAAATATCTCTAAATTTCTCTGTCTTCACCCCAGGGTTCCAGCCGTTCTCCACACACTAACCCACACCTCCTTTACCCCAACAGCACTGGAGAAAGAGGAGAAAGATAAAGGGAAGGCTTGCAAATCTGAGAGAGGCTGGTTATTTCTAAACTGTCTCTAAATCTCTGTGTGTCTCTCACGAGATTTACACCTACTCCAGCCCCACCCCACCCCCTTCAAAAAATACAGTTATGTCTAACGAGTTTGCAGGGGGTTCGGGGAAAGCAAGTCTGGACCTAGTCCAGTCGGTTGATACAGACATTACCACCCCAGGGAGTCCAGATGTTCCCTTGCACCAACCTGGTGGGATGTAAGGAATTAAATCCTCCTCTTGGCCACAAGCATCAACGACTGCAGGGCAGTGAGGAGATGGTACCCAGAGGAGAAAGAAGCCCGGGAATATAAGGCCTTCACTTCAGCTTGGTCACGTGAGGATTAAGTCATCCTCCAACTTTGGTCTCCACTTTCCCTCCCAGTAGCTGTGCTGTAGAAGTGGACTGGTTTGCCAACCTCCCACCCCCCACCACACCAGGCCCTGTCACTCATTTTTGTCATTGCTAATCCCAGAGGTCTAAAGTGCCCCCTCCCCCTATGGTTGGAATTTGCCTTTCTCTACCAGAGAAAGGCTGAGTCTTTCCATAGTCATATTAACCACTGTTACTTTTCTGGAGGTTGTGTTCAGAGAGAGGATTTGACTCATCCTCTTCTAAACTACAGGTACACCAAAGTAGCAGCCTTCCTTCCACGCACTCTCCCCCAGTCACTAATGGCCACCTTTTCCCTTGTAGATCTATTCTGGAAACCAGTGTCGAAACCACACTGGATGGATAGCATACATTAGGAAAGGAAGTCATGATTAGGATTGTGTTTTTTACTTTTGTTCAGATAATTTACTCTTCTTTTCCATATTATCCATAAATTTATTATATTCTTTTAATAATCATAAATATACTAACAATATGTATATTTGGAAAAAGTTTTAAGATAGAAGGATAAAAAGACTCAGCCACCTGTTTCTGCTTCGAGTCATAAGATAAATATAGACCCTCCAAGCAGACACATTTTTGGAAGTTTAAAATGTACAGGGCACTATGTAAGAACTTGTTCACCATGTAAGAACTTGTTCATTATGCTTCAGAAGATTGGAGACTGTTGAGAATTAGGCTTGGGGTTGATTAATGATTGTGCATTGAGTCCCCCTATACAGAATTTTATTGCTGTTAACCATTTGATCAATAAATATGAGAGATGCCCTCTCAAAAAAAAAATGTACAGGGAAGCTGGAGATTACCCTTTGAGGAGCCCTTGGCCATGTGAGGCCCTTTCAGTAGGTGAGCTGCTGCGGCCATTATCCAACATAATACCTTGTCCTTAGATTTTCAGATCTCCAAAGTCAGTCATAAACTTTTACTAGTTCAATCTCAGTATCATACTCCCTCTCTGCCAGTTTGTACCATGCCTTTTATTTCCTTCAATACTGTGTCCAAAAGGTTCTACCTTTCCTCAACACTCTTATTCAGAATCAAATCGTTTTTCATTTCTTCCAGACATCTCCATCCTAGTTATGTTTCCTTAGACCTTATTCAGCCATACTTGATAGAAGCACTAATAGAAACTGGCCACATTCAGTCACTTTTCACACTAAACTTTTTGTTGTTAAGGATTTTGGTACTAACTTAAGTGGATTTGTTGATGTGTTAGCTTGAAATATACACAACAGAAAGTGGAATGTGTTCTTTAAACTTGTCTTTAGGAAGACTGTGGCTCTTTATAATGTAAAGTTGCCACTAATGAGTTTGATGCAAATGGTCTCAAAAAATATTTCAGGGAAGAAAGAGAAGATGTCCTAAAAAGGGTAGAGTGCTGTTATCACAGTTATTAAGGAACAGTTAGCTGTGATAGAGGTAAAGGATTTGTTGGTGGAGTGGGGGAATTACTGAATCTTCTGTGAACAGTTTTTCATGCAGATGGTTAGACTTCTATTTTTCAGATGGCTGGAAGGATTCAGGTGCTGAAGATTTTGGTATTGTAGTAAGAAGCATGTCTCTGAACAGATGTGAGTTTGGATTAATTACATTTACTTATCTATTGTCTAAGCTTGGGTCTGAAACTTGGATATTAAAATGTTCTTGTGTCTCATCTATAAAATGAGGCCAATAGTTCTTAAGTACTTCATAGAGCTGTCAGAATAAAATGATGAAATCTATATGAAGAATTTCATACATGACAAATACCAAGTGCTCCAGTAAATGACAGGTGCTAATGATTACCTCCTAAGAATCTTGGGAATCATTCCAGTTTCTGCTCTGGATCCACTGCCACTGCCTTAATGCAAGCATCCATGAACTCCTGGACAGCTACAACATTTACTGGCCCCTTTGCCTTACATCTTCTCAACTTAAAACAGAATAGTGAAAATACCAACAGCATTCTTCAGTGAACTAGAGCAAATAGTTCTAAAATTCATATGGAACCACAAAAGACCCCAAATAGCCAAAGCAATCCTGAGAAGGAAGAAAAAAGCAGGGGGAATCTCACTTCCCAACTTCAAGCTCTACTACAAAGCCACAGTAATCAAGACAATTTGGTACTGGCACAAGAACAGAACCATAGACCAATGGAACAGACTAGAGAGCACAGATATAAACCCAAACAAATACGATCAATTAATATATGATAAAGGAGCCATGGATATACAATAGGGAAATGACAGCCTCTTCAACAGCTGGTGTTGGCAAAACTGGACAGCTATATGTAGGAGAATGAAACTGAATTATTGTCTAACCCCTACACAAAAGTAAACTCAAAATGGACCAAAGACCTGAATGTAAGTCATGAAACCATAAAACTCTAAGAAAAAAACATAGGCAAAAATCTCATGGACATAAACATGAGCAACTTCTTCATGAACATGTCTTGCTGGGCAAGGGAAACAAAAGCAAAAATGAACAAGTGGGACTATTTCAAACTAAAAAGCTTCTGTATAGCAAAGAACACCATCAGTAGAACAAAAAGACATCCTAAAGTATGGGAGAATATATTCACAAATGATATATCTGATAAGGGGTTGACATCTAAAATATAAAGAGCTCATGCCCCTCAACAAACAAAAAGCAAATAAGCCAATTAAAAAATGGGCAGAGGAGCTGAACAGACAGTTCTCCAAAGAAGAAATTCAGATGGCCAACAGGCATGTGAAGAGATGCTCCACATCCCTAATCAGCAGAGAAATGCAAATTAAAACCACAATATCCCTTTACACCCATTAGGATGGCCAACATCCAAAAGATAAACAACAACAAATTTTGGGAAGGATATGGAGAAAGGGGAACCCTCCTACACTGCTGGTGGGAATGTAAACTGTTCAACCATTGTGAAAGCAGTATGGACGTTCCTCAAAAAACTCAAAATAGAAATACCATTTGACCCAGAAATTTCACTCCTAGGAAATTACACTAAGAATGCAGGAGCCCAGTTTGAAAAAGACAGATGCACCCCTATGTTTATCACAGCACTATTTACAATAGCCAAGAAATGGAAACAACCTAAGTGTCCATCAGTAGATGAATAGATAAAGAAGAGGTGGTATATATACTCATGGAATACTTCAGCTATAAGAAGAAAACAAATCCTACCATTTGCAACAACATGGATGGAACTGCAGGGTATTATGCTCAGTGAAATAAGCCAGGTGGAGAAAGACACATATCAAATTATTTCACTCATCTGTGGAGTATAAGACCAAAGAAAAAACTGAAGGAACAAAACAGCAGCAGACTCACAGAACCCAAGAACGGACTAACAGTTACCAAAGGGAAAAGAATTGGGAAGGATAGGTGGGAAGGGAGGAATAAGAGGGGAAAAGGGGCATCACAATTAGCATATATAATTTAGGTGGGGAGACATGGGGAAAGCACTATAGCAGAGAAGACAAGTAGTGATTCTATAGCATATTACTACACTGATGGACAGTGACTGTAATGGGGTATGTGGTGGGGACTTGAGAATAGGGGGAGTCTAGTAACCATAACGTTGTTCATGTAATTGTACATTAATGATAGCAAAATAAAAAATAGAAAATAAACAAAAACAAAAAACAGAAAAAAACCAGAATGGTGATTCCAATCCACAGATATGAGCATATCACACTGCCTTGCATTATTTCACTTCATCCCCCATCAATCCTACTAGTTAGGCACATCTTTAGTTGATATTCTAAACATTTCATAGACTATGTATTTATAGGTAAAAGCTGTTATGAAAATACATGCAAA